AGGCCCATCTTCGAGAAGAGGGAACTGAGGCTTGGGGGGTGGGGCAACCCACTTGAGGTCTCACAGAGCTCCCACGGTGGGTGTTGGGTCTCGAGCCCTGGGCTCCCAGGGCTGTCCTTCACCTCACTAAGCTACCACACTTTGTGACAGGAACAGAATCAGGACAGGGAGAAGGAAGGGGAGGGAGAGACCAGTGGAGAAGAGGGGTTCAGCTAGCCAACTTTGTGTTTTTGCTTTCCCAGGCTGGGAACAATTAGGTATCCTGCTTCTAACTTTCCATGTGTTGTGGTGGTGTCAGATGTAAACCTTGAGTGATCCTTATCTATGATCGGTATGCATCTGTATGAGCAGAATTAAAGCTGCCATGGGAATTCCAGACAGCCTTGAGACCACGGCAGGAAGGACGAGTATGAGCGGGGGCACATCACCGCCACACACGCAACAACACTGGTCCCAGGGGCGCATGCGTGAAGGGAGTGGGTCCCTGACCCTCTCCTCGCTGCTCGTTGCTTTGGTCTGGGTAACATACATGCTGGTCAGTGAGCCATCCAGGCCTGGAGTCACTTGGAGCATCGAAGCAGGCTCTTCCCGGGCATTTCAGAGAGAGGCCACACACTTCCAGGCACACAGGAACTATTTATGGAGTGCCGACTATATGTCGGGCTCTGGGGACACAGCAGAAAGAGATCGTATGGTAATAACATTGTACGGTGACAGCAACAACACGTATCCTGGTGAATATGTCATGATATGTGTACCTGTGGATTTGCTAGGTTCTACACCTGACACTAATATAACATTGTATGTCAGCTGTCATTCAATTAAAAAAAGGGGGGGGATCAAAACAAAATCTATTCTTATAAAGCTTAATATTCTACTGGGGGCAGGAGGAGAGAGACAATAAAATTAAATACATAAATATATACTATTTCACTGAGAAGTGAGAAGGACAGTCAAATGGGGGATTGGGAGAGACTGGGGGTGCCATGTCATGAGGGTCATTAAGGAGGGCCTTCCTGATAAAGTGACAGGTAGGCAGAGGCCTGAGGAGGGGAGATTGAAGTCTGCGGATACTTGGAGGGGGAGGGAACTGCAAGTATGAAAGACCCAAAGGTAGAATGTGCTTGAAAAGTTCCAGTAATGGTCTGAGGTTGGAGCCTCTATTCACGGGAGGAATCTGAAGCCCAGAGAAGTTAAGTAATTTCTCCAATGTCACACAGTCAATATGGGAGTGCTGGAATCAGAGTCGAGAGATTGTCTAAGTCCAAAGCCTATTCTTTCCAAACCTCATTCTGGCTGGGTGCAGAGAAGATTATCGACATAGTCCCTGCCCTCAAAAATGTCCCTGACTTACAACAGCCCCATGAGGTCAGAACTGTTATTGTCTCTATTTTTAGGAATGAGAAAATGGATGCCCAGAGAGGTTCAGTGACTTGCCCAAGTCACAACAGCTAGTAGGTGGCAGAGCCAAGATTCAGTGCTGGTCTACTTCCTCATATCTTACCCACAACTCTGTGTTATTACATAACACCATTGTTTTGAACTTTAGTAAAATATATATATATTTTTTCTTTTAAGATTTTATTTATTTATTTGACAGATAGAGATCACAAGTAGGCAGAGAGGCAGGCAGAGAGAGAGAGGAGGAGGCAGGTTCCATGCTGAGCAGAGAGCCCGATGCGGGGCTCGATCCCAGGACACTGGGACCATGACCTGAGCTGAAGGCAGAGGCTTTAACCCACTGAGCCACCCAGGCGCCCCAGTAAAATATATTTTTAAACCTCATTTACAGATAGGCGGTAGGCAAGAAAAGCACCAACTTATCTAAGCAGACCAGTACTGCAAGACTTCTTGAAGAACGCACATAGGTGTGCACATGCGCACGTGCGCACACACATTTATTGACATGTATACGTACATATACGGATATGGACACACCCATACAGTGCATGCATACACAACATTCCAAAGTCAATTGCTTCCTAAATTAACCTCTGTTATCTGGGTCTCTGGGGAAGTTAAGTCATTTGCCCAATTATGATGAGCTGCCAAAGCCATCTTGTCCATTCCCAGGAAGTACAAGGATGTAGTCTTCAGATTACTTCTTAAAAAGTCAACTGGAACGCTCTGTTACCATTTCCTTGAGAAGCTCAGGGAAGGGGTGGTAGTAGAAAGGTTGAAATGTCAAATATTCATCCCTCGGCAATAGAGGACTCCTGAAAACACCGATTCCCAGTGTCCTGCTTCTTCTCCAGAAATGCAGACTCAACTACTCTGGTAATTCAGTTTAGAGCATCAGGAGGCAAAAGACTCCTGTCGAGGGGTGCTGTGGTTTAGGGAAAATGAGTGAAAACTCACTTTGTCCTCCAACGGTCCTGAGTTCTAACCTAGTTTCCAGCCCTTCCTGCCTATGTGATCCCAAAGAGGTGAGTGGGTTCCCCTATAAACAAAACAGCAATAATATAATACCTACTTCTGAGCTATCATGAGAATTACAAAGATCCCTTAAATCAAGTGTCAGCTGACACTTGATCAGCTGACGTTGATAGAGGACAAAGTTCGGAGTCTTGACCTTTCCCCTACAAGGTGGAGAGTCACTAACTTCCAACCCATAGAACCTACAATTACTATCTCTGGCCACCATGGGAAGAAGTTTAAATGAGGGGGAGGGGGGGAGGCAGTCAGATGTTTTCACGCGGAAAGGCAGGCCCAGGCATCATTACCATGTTGCTAGGTAGTGTTAGCCACCCACCTAGCCCCAGAGTGGGCAGCAATTAATGTAATTAGCACAGTGATGAGTGTCCTCTGCAACGATAAACAGCTCGGTCCTGCAGAACTTGACAGACCTGCTGGTCCCATGGGGCTCCTGACCTTAAGCGTCCACTTGGGGAGTGGTGTAGTACGGTTTAGAGGAAAGAGACAGGCTTGGAGTCTGATGGAACCAGAAGTAAATCCTGTCTTTGCTATTTCCTAGCCATGAGTCTGAAGGCACGCTGTGTCCCCTCTCTGAGTCTTTGTCTCCTTGTCTATAATATGCGGCTAATAATATTTTCACACGGTTCTTACAGTTACTTCTACCATCACCATCATCACCATGGAAATCTCCAAACTGGGCTGGTACTGAAGTGGCAAAGGGTGGCCATAAACATTGCTTGTACCTAGTGCTGGAGCAGCCCCATTCTTCTCTGGCTAAAGTCAGAGCAGGCAGCACCGATCTGACTGGCTTTAGGGAAACTATTGGAGTTTGGAATGCAAAGCATACTGATACCTAGAATAAAAAGGGAGAGAAGGTACCCCTTGATTTGAACATTTAAGATAATGTTACAAATAATTACCACTAGCATTATCAGCAATACCACCACTTATGTAAAACAAAAGCACCACGGCAATCTGGCAGTTGGTAATAAAAGCACAAAACCTGCTTATATCTTTGTATCTAGCCATTCCATCTTCAGAATTAATACCCTTAAAATAGAAGTTAAAAAATCCAAAGGTGGTTATGTGTAGGTAAGCATATAGTAAGGTTCTTGATAATCATTAAGAATTCGCTAATTTGGGATGCCTGGGTGGCTCTGCCTTTGGCTCAGGTCATGATCTCTGGGTCCTGGGATTGAGCGCCACATCGGGCTCTCTGCTCAGTGGGGAGCCTGCTTCCTCTTCTCTCTCTGCCTGCCTCTCCACCTACTTGAGATCTCTGTCTGTCAAATAAATAAGTAAATAATCTAAAAAAAAAAAAAAAGAATTTGCTAATTTGGGGACCCTGGGTGGCTCAGTGGTTTAAGCCTCTGCCTTCGGCTCAGGTCATGATCTCAGGGTCCTGGGATTGAGTCCCATAACTGGGCTCCTGCTCAGCAGGGAGCCTGCTTCCCCCCCTCTCTCTTTGTCTGCCTCTCTGCCTACTTGTGATCTCTCTCTGTCAAATAAATAAATAAAATCTTTAAAAAAATAAAAAGAATTCGCTAATTTGTCCAACAGTTACTAAGTGCCTACTTGCTACCAGAGATTTAAAGACTTTGAGTGTGGGGACACACACACACAAACACACGCACACACTCAGGATTCACTGAAATGAAGGTTCTGAAAAGGACTGTAAAACAGAGTAAATCAAGAGGGAGGAATCTATAGGGAAACTACAAGCAAAACTGAAGCATAATCCCTGAGAGCCACGTGGATTCTTGGAAACACGCATGTGAATTGGTGTTAAATGAAAGAGCAAAGTTGGGGCCCCTGGGTGGCTCAGTGGGTTAAAGCTTCTGCCTTCAGCTCAGGTCATGACCCCAGGGTCCTGGGATCGAGCCCCACATCGGGCTCTCTGCTCAACAGGGAGCCTACTTCCCCCACCTCCCCCTCTTTCTGCCTGTCTCTCTGCCTACTTGTGATCTCTTTCTGTTGAATAAATAAATAAAATCTTTTAAAAAAAAATGAAAGAGCAAAGGAAAAACAGAAATAATAATAGGACTCAGAGAATGTCAAAACCAGGAAGGGTCTCAGAGAACACCAAGTCCAGCAGTTCTCAACCCTTCCCATGGCGTCTTGGACAGGTAAAACTCACATAGCCTAACAGCCTAGGCAGAGAAAACAATTTATGGGCTAATAATAATAAACATTTCCAGCTGCTAGCTGTCACTCCACTGTTTTCTCTCCCACTAGAGACAGCTTTTCAGTATCCTGGGGTGTAAGCTGAAGCTATTAAAGGGATAACCTTGAATCCACTCTAATTTGTTTAATAAAATGGAGGTTGGGAGTCAACACTGCAGTGAAGAGGCAGTGATCTGGCCCAGGCCTTCATGCAATTGGTGGAGAAGCCGAGGCCCCAAGTGACCCATCTAACCTGTCATGCTAGCACGTACTTCTTGCTCAATCAGTATTTGCTGAACGGGGATTCGTGAATGAACAGGCAAATGAGATGACATGACCCAGGTTACCCAAGCTGTATGTGGCTAGTTACACATACTGTTTGAAACTTAGGGATTGGGAGTGAATTTGTTTGTTTGTTTGCTTATTATATGGAATGCTTCACAAATTTGCACATCATCCTTGTTCAAGGGCCAAGCTGATCTCCTCTGTATTGTTCCAATTTAAGTATATGTGCTGCTGAGGTGAGCCCTGGGTGTGAATTTGGAATGTGGAAATGCATGTTCATTGTATTTCCTTTCTTTATTTTGCTCAAGGGTAGTCTGGGAAGTACAACAACCATCCAACAGACATGTCAGTGTAGAGGGAGCCATAGTAAGAGCCTGAAAAGACATGGAGTTCCAGAATCTTCAAGATATGGATAATACCAGAGGCATCTGGGTGGCTTAGTCATTTATGCAACCGACTCTTTGGTTTTGGCTCAGATCTTGATCTCAGGGACCTGGGATTGAGCCCCGCCCATGCTGGGTAGGGGGAGTTCCCCACTCAGTGCGGAAGGGGGGGGTCCCCACTCAGCAGGGAGTCTGACTGGGGTTCTCTTTCCCTCCCTCTCTCTCTGCCCCATCTCCCCACTCTCCAATGTCCCGTGTCCAGTGCTTAAAAGCCACAACAGAGATTCCACCTCCTACAGTAGACTCTTTAACTGACCCATGAAGAAAGGAAGATCTTTTAACAGAATTGACCTAGTGCAGAGCCCGTAGAAAAAGTCCTCAATTTGCTGATCACTGGTGATGGCTCTTCCCTGCCTTTTCCTTTTCCCAGAATGCCCTTCCCAAACCACTCTCCTCTCCCAGGGTCAACATTTATATCTTTATATTTTAGTCCCTCTTTAGAAAGGCCCTTTTGAATCATCCCCTTTAAGAAGATCTTCCATTTTACTTCCTTAAAGCCAGAAGTGTTTGGAGATCTTCTAGGTCAGTAGCTCAATTGTCTCCCGACTCCCCGTCAGGTAACGTCCAATACCCTGCTAGGTACCCCACAGGGAAAACATAGTTCCAGATCACAGGCAAATCCCACCTGGCTTTTTTTCACTCCTAACACATGCTGCTTATTGTGATTTCATATTAATTTATTTATTAACTCTATATAGCCACTATAAGACTAGTGATTACAGTTGACATTTACAGGACACTTACTGGGTTCAGTAATCATCGAATCATTTACTATCCATAACATCCCTCTGAAACAGATTCCCTTGTGATCCTTATTTTATAGATGAGGAGACAGATTCAGAGAGAGGAACTTGACCAAATGCATATAGTGCGTCAAGGACAGAACCGGATATCAGAGCCAGACGATCTGGCTCCAGAGGTTAAGGGCTTAACCTCTAGGTGACATAGAAGCACCATGAGGGCAGATTCCATGTCTTTTCTTGCCCATCACTTCATTCCCAGGACCGTGTATAATGTGTGATATGGGATAAGTCCTCAATCAGTATTTGTCAGAAGAATGAAATGAAGGGAGGGCAGGGTGAGGAAGGGAGGGAAGAAGGAGGACTGAGGAGGAAGACATGCCACTAGCCCCTTCATGCTCTCCTGTCGGTAAAGTAGGGCTGGGACCCACTGAGGAGTCCCTGCCTCACTTGGGAGCAACAGAGATGCTGGAGATAGAGCTGAATGAGACAGTGTCCCTGTCCTGGCAGAGTGCCTGCATCCTCATCTCAAGGTGGTCCATTGCTTCGAATGCTCTCAGGAGAGCCCAGGGCCCTTCCCTGCTAGGAAAGGGGGTTCAGCTGTAATGCAAGCGTTCTCCTCCAGGGCCCCTGTGGAGGCCCTCAGAGCACACCAGTAACTATGACAAAGCCCTCTCTCCCTAGAAGACACAGACTAGTGAGGAAGAGGAACCCTGGAACCAAGGAGAGGAGGGGTTGCAACCCAGTCAAACGGGAAACGGAGGGAAGGCACTGAGTGTCTTCTGCCCCTGGGAGTCTCTGCTTGTTCAGCTCATGAAGCCCGGGACAAGGGCAAGCTCGTGGTTGAGAACTGAACCTCTCACTCTCCACATCAGCCTATGTGGCCGCCCTGCTCTACTACACAATACTGTGACACATGTGACTTGAAGACACACTAAGATGGATCACAAGAGGAATAAGAGCCTCCTTCTTTCACACTTATTTTTCTCAGGATGTTAGAATTTTGTTCCACTGAGGAACAGCAGAGGAACAGAAACTGTCCTACTCAGGGAAATGCAATCACCTCAGAGGCATACAGAACTGGGGGACTGGGCATTGTGCTCGTTCACCCCCCATCCTCCTGCTGGGCTGTCTGCCTACACTGCCTTTCTTAAAAGAGCTTATTGCTCAGTGTGCCCCCCTCCACTGTCTTCAAGCCCCTGCCCTCCCCTCCATAACTCAGCAGCCTCATTTCTCCCTTATGCCTTCCATCAAGCAAGCTTCGCCAGTTTTAAAGTCGAGTCCTATATTTGCTATCGTGTGTGTGTGTGTGTATTTATTTCATCAAAATTTAACGGGTCTTTTTAGTTCTATTATTTCTATTAGGATGCTTAGAGTTTTATCTTAGCGTTATGGTTAGGATATTGCACAGGTTTTCAGTGGTCTGCCTCAATCTCATTTCTGTTATTTTTTAATGTGCAACTCTGCAGAACACCAAGCTTTGCAGGGACTTCCATGTCACATTGTAGCAGAAATGCCTGTAGCAGTGCATCAATGGCTTTTCCACCTGCTACTATGCCATTCCTTACCCAAGTTCCAAGAAATATGGGGAAATGGCAATTATCACCTTCAGACGAGGGAACTGAGGCTCAGAGACGTTTAGTGACTTATCCAAAGGTGATGTAATAGTACTGGAATCCAAGTCTTCAAGTCCATTCACCCAGATTTCACCGTACCCACAACATTTAGCACATTTTCTAGATATATGGTAAGCCGCTGATCAGCAAGTTATTCAAGGAACAATTAATTCTGCCCACAGATCATTCCTTTATCCAAAAACAGGGTCCATAAATGCCATTGGGGGGGGGGGGGTAATGAGAGAAAGAAGGTAGCTAAATTTTTTGAACACTTACTCTGAGCCAGGAATGACATTTGATGCTTTCTGAACATGAACACACACACACACACACACACACACTCTATGAAATAGCTGTTGTCATTTCATTTTGTAGACAAGAAACTGATGTTCAACAATTTAAGGAAGTTACCCAAAATCATTATACTGGGAAGGAAATGCATTGAGATTTGAACCCATGTTTTCCTGATTCCAAAGCCCATACTTTTCTACTATATCAGTGGAGAACACCTACCTTCTGTAGAGTAAGAGAATACTTTCAGTGGTACATGGACAAATCTATCTATTTTAATGACCATGCATTTATTTTTACAGTGGTCTAAATGTTTCTGGCAAGTAATATTTGTTATCAGCTTAAAATTGTAAGACATCTTCTCCTACAAAAATATCTTTAGGTTTTAAGAAAGTAAATCTCTTTAAAGAAAAATATCAAGAAAATTAATTTTAGATCTGTAAGTGGACATAACAAAATGAAAAAGCGGTGGGTAAATCTCTGAAAATTGAGGAATACAACTCTTAGCCCTTACAAAGCCCTTAATAAAATATTTTCTTTATGCAGTTGATTCCCATGAGCTAGATCAGCAGATATTGTCTAAATTAGCTTGAATAGAAAGGAAATTAAAATAGGCGTGATTCCCTGGCCAGTGTCTTCAGGAATTTAACGTGGCACTCTTTATTTCAGTGTCTGTGCCAACTGGTGTTTTCTTTGCAGGATTCAGGTCGTTGGTATAAGAAATGCTTGGGTTCTCACAAGACAAAGGAAGCAACAGAGAAAGAAGACAATATATATTTTAAAGAGAGTAATGGAAGTTTCAGGGCCTAGTGAATATTCCCAAATGATCCACACATTTGATGTTTGTGTTACACAGAGAGAAAAGTAAAAGGCCCTGGCCCCCTTCTAGACACCTGGGTTTCAATCCCATCTTAGCCACTAATTTAATGTGTCACTCAGGTAAGTGACAGCTGGGAGGTTCACCGTCCCCACTGGCTAAATGAAGGAATTTTGATTTCCATAACCACTTTCCAGCAATGTGAGACACACCCAATCAAGAATAACTATAATTGGCAAAAGCAGCTGTCCGTGTAAGTTAGAAGGCACCTGCCTACCATGGGCACCAGAGCCCTTCCTGCTCTAAGAATCTATGATTTCATGATTTAAGCTCCTTGCACTGCAGATGGCCACACAATTAGCAGAGATGCATACAGAGGGCCATTAAAGTCCCTGAATTATGCTTAGAACATCACAGCACAGGCCGTATAAGCCAAGCTGGTGTAAACGCCTACCTGCCCTTTTAGGCAATGAGTACCCTGGTTAATTAAACATCCATGTGACCATCACTAAGCTCATTATAATTGTAAATATGGAGTTTGTATTCTTAAGAAATGCTTAATGCAACTTTGTAATATATTGAACACAATTTAAACCATCCTGGCTCAGTATTCTCTTTTCCTCACTTTATTGTTATTTTTATAACTAACAAAGCAATGAATGTGGATTGTCATAGATGACTATACAGCACACATTCACTATCTCCTTCCATATCCTCCATGACCTCCCAGCTCCAGTGATATTGGACTTAGCCATGTGGCTTGCTTCAGCTAACAGAAAGTGGGCAAAAAGGAGAGTATACTGGTTCCAAGCCTTGGTCTGAAAAGGCTTCCCATGTTTCCATTTGCCCCAACCTCCGCCATGAGAAGAACAGATCCCTGGTAGGACCTGCCTCTCCAGGATGCCTTCCAGAATGCGACACATCAAGCGGCCCTGCATTGGGTCCCCCACCCTAACTCTTCGGGGTGCATACAAACACATGTGGTATGGTACTCAGATCAGCAGTTCCAGGAGAAGCCGGCATCACTACTCCAAAAACCGCCAGGGAGCCCTGTGCAGTGGGGAGAAGAGACCACCCACCCGGACCTTAGGAAGTGTAAGCCCCCTCAACTAACCTGCAGACCCATAGGCAGGAAAAATAATACTTAACCTTAGATAGCACTCTGATTTTGTGGTCGTTTGTTTCATGACAAAAGCCAATTAATCCACCTATTGTGACCAGGAAAAATGTACAGAAATCATACGCTTTTAAATATAAGTACACTCTCTTTATCCCACCCCCAATGAAAGTAGCTGACGGTCATCATTTCATAGGGAACTTTCTATTCCTTTCTTTGG